CAGGCGGATCAAAATCTAAGTCGGGTTCTACCTCCAAAAAGAGCGGAAAGAAACGATTGGAAAATGCATCCTCTGTTGATTTACGTCAACCTAAAGATAGAGATCCCAAGATCTCCAACGATTCCGGCACCCAAGAAGTGATCGACACATTGCGCCCACTGATTGACTTTGGGCTCTCTACTCAAGATTTAGTCGCTATCGGCTATGACAAGAACTCTACTCAGATAGAGTTTGGAAATCACGTTTTTACAAAATGGATTGACGACCACCACGCCCGCTGGTCTCAAGCCCTTTCCAGGTTCGATAGCCCTTTCCAGGACTTCTATGCTAAGTTCTCGGTCGAAGTCCGGGTTAATATGCTCTTCGATGAATACGATAACGACTGGCAACGCGTCCTGGCCTTTTTGATTTCGATTTTTGAGGATGACGACAAGAACACGGAATATATCTGGGGAGTGAGAGCGATTGCTCTACAGGTCGCCCAACAAATTCCTTTCTCCTTTTTCGATATTTGTCTTTTGGGTGATTCGACAATTCAACATGATGACTTGTACTTCTGTCATGACGATTCTAATCCTTGCTTACGACAAAAGACTCCTTTGGTACAATTTTGGTTGATCTGTGCTACCATGTTCGATCATCCTTGGACTATGATGTTTGACAAATTTCTAGAGGTGACTCCTGTAAGATGCATACAGGAAATGAAGACTAAAGTCATCGCGGGTTTTCCGAACGACGCGGTTGACAAAGTTGAAATCCACAAGGGTGTCAGAAAGATTTTCGATCCGGAGTATGAAGATTCCGAGGAAGAAGACGACCCAATCGGTGACAAAGATAATGGCTTGGTTAACAGGTACGCCCAACCTGACGGGTGGGACTCAGATGCGACCGATGACGACAGCGAATTTGACAATAAGACTGTTGATGATGCTGACGATGATGACAATGCATCTGGGGAATCCGTCATTATTGTTGAAAGCACTCGGCCGACCGACAATGAATTTGGTGGTAGTCGATCCGGCAGAGGTCGCCACGCTGAGACTCGCACCATCACTGATGAAACAGTCTCCGAATTGACAGGAAACACAGGTGATGAATCTGAACCGGAATTAGCGTCTCCGCCACGAAAGAAAGGACGCTCTCAACGGGTGTCAATTGATGAACAATCTACCGCAATGGACGTGGATGGAACGGACCCGAGCGTTGGTTCCCAACCCAGTGGAAAGCGGCTGCACCCGGCGCCAAGGTCTACTAAGCCTGCTACACAGGAGCCGGCAAAATCGAGGCCTACAACGAACGTTCCCGGGGCCAAACGGAAATCTCAACGAACTCTGACGCTGGAAGAGCGCCTGGATGATTTGTGCAATGTCGACCTGGATGGAATGGAAGGCAGGGCTATGTTGGTCGAGTTGGGCATGGTCTACAATTACCCAGGTCAGCAGGAGGGCAACCAATCACATGCGTCCATTATCCTGAACCATATTTTGGACACCTTGTCCGACATGCTCAGGAACACAGAAAAGACTCTACGTATACTACCACTTTCCGATAGGACGTATAAGAACACGCAGATGTGGATTCGCAATGAAGCCGACCTTCGGCGGCTGATTCCTGATTACCGCGGGTTGTCACGATACCTCAATATGTCTTTTGGCAACATGTCGTATGCGTCTAATTCAAACAAGCCGGGAGAAAAGAAGCTGCGCACACGGCTGAGAGTAGGTTTCGAGGCTGACGTGTCGTCGGAGATGATCCAGCAATATCTGCATGGTGAATTGCAACATCAGGGACGTGGCGCCGGATGCTACTCATCCGTTCTCCAGTTTGGTGACATTGAAAAGATTGGAGCCTTATGTTTTTACCCTCAGGAGATTAACATTATGGCCATCAAGAAAGAACTGATGCGTCATTTTGGTTGGGATATTGTTATTGGACTACGGTACGAATGGGTTAACATCCAATAATAATAATAACTGAGACATTAATCGTTAATATGCTACTCTATGGGCATTCGATTGCCGGTGAAATATTCGGCTGTAAAGGTCAAGTACTGTGAAGCGGTGAGTCAACAACAAGTTTGAAC